AGCTCTGGCGCTTGTTTAAACTAGGGATTTTTTCGGTACATATTCCTCATTTTGTCTCTTGAGAAAAGTATGTAACTTTGAATATTTGCGTACTCTCTTTCTTTATATCCAACGTCAACCGCAACATTGAATATTGTGACCAAAGCGTTGACGGTTTCATTTTATTTGCTAAATTTGAGAAATACACCATCATTACAACTTTCGAATACAACTTAATGTTTTTTCTTTGCACCAATTCATAAAACGTTCTTTGGGAGAAGATTCAAAGAAACCTCTTTCGCACACTCCAGTATCTCCTCATGTACACCTAAATCTTCATTAGATTCCATTTTTACAAAGTTTTCAGCAAATTGAACCACAAACAATCACAAATGAACTCAATTAGCAATATGGCGACTTTTGACAAAGTATTCATGACTACATCGATATATCCTACTTACCTACTTTGCTTTATTATCCAAATTTGGTTTGAATAATTTCAAAGCACAAATTAGTTATTGAATGGGGGATTTCGGTTGGAGAAAAAATATTATTTTTTATTTGGATTAAAAGTGTTTTTTCCACTACTAGCCTATGAGCCCACCATTATCGACTTATCTTTGACGCGTAAACTTCTATCTTTTTGACCTGGGTGAATAATGATGACCTTGATTTATTAACCAAGGTAAATAATGAAAATAACACTTAACAATTTTGACACTTCACAGTTATAGAAGTACAGAACGTGGAGGTTATGAAACACGTTTTTAATAGATAGAAAATATCCAGAACATGTCAACAGACAATTATCAGTACCACGAACTTATCGGAAATAATAGTTAACTGTGCAGTTGTGGCATGTCATATTGATGCCGGCTCTTCCAATGTTGAGCGACGTAGTAGTAGCACCAGCAGCATTATCAGCTTGATTTCCGGGCACGGAGTGTCTTGGAGAAAACGAAGTGCTTGGAATTCTACTCGGAGTGGACGAATTGGGTGAAACATCACACACAACAGTGGCACTAGTAATAATTACAGAGGTAGAAGGGATGACAAGAAATGACGACGACGTTTGAACACCTTGCACTATTCCGGCAATGCGTCTCTTATCGGCTATTGATTCTTCAATGTATCCTTCTGCTACCCCTGAAGATCACCACCCACCGTGACACTTTAAGGACAATATATCGCCCCCATTTTCAGCCAATATGGTAGGTGAAGTTATGCGGAGGGCAAGACTGGTGTAATTCTCATAATTTTGGAGTTTCAAGAACTGCGGTAACTTTGGACATATTGCTAATTGTGTTGTGCCCCATATTTTGCCGTGTTGGCACCCCTTTTCGGAAGCCAATAGATAATCTTTGTAAATCTGGTGCAGGCCTTTTCCCCAATAATTTTTTACCACCTCAATCCACAGGGGTTTCATCACGACAAATTTTCAGGCTGAACCATTCTTACTGGTCCTACCTCTTCTGGCATGATTGGTTATGAACATTCTTTGCCATTTTCCTCACTTCAGGGGGTGTGCAGCCCATTTCTTCATCCATCAATTCTTTTGTTCGTAAAATAATTCCATCAGCTATTCTTAGAATTCTTTTTACTTGCTATTTCTACGGTTTTTTAGAATTTCACGCACTTATTTTATTTCTTATCCTTTCTCAGCTATGTGGGAATAGTAGTGACCAAAATTAACATGACAACTCATGCTGTATCTTCGATGTGGCAGGTCAGATGGAAAAGCTAGATATCGAACTCGTCAATAGAAGTCTAATTAACAGGATAATTAACCAAAGATAAACAGCTTTAAGGAATGTTACAGTAATTAAAGATTTTTCCTTGCCTCGGGGTCTCAGTCTGTTTCGTTCGGTTTGCTTTTCTTTATTTCGTCGGCGATTTAAACTCTTTCATCGGTATTGTTTTAATTCAATTCTCCCTTAATTGGGTTCTGTTCACTTATAATTAAACTTATCGATCTGATCTTAGTGAAAACTTACAAAGGAAATACCCGGGGCTCCCGAGTTAATAAAATCTTTATTGTTTATGTACTTTAAATCCCCTGGGAATAATAAATGTAGGATGAACTTTGACGAGTTGATAATTCTAATATGATGAGACTTTTATAAAGAGATATTGCATCAGATAATCCCAGAATAACATTTTACTGGCGTAAGAATAATAAATTTTAGTTTACTGAGAGATGTTAAAATAATACAAAATGCTTTAAATTTTATATTCTCTAGTTTTATTTACACATTTTGATTGGTATCAAATTTTAGTAAAACTTTATTTAATTACCCACCGCTGATAATATTTGTTTCTATTTCAAAAGTTATTAGCAATTTATTAACTAATTGAAAAAAATTGTTTCTTAGAAGTTCAAATAAAAAATTGTTGCCTGGACTTTTATAAGTGAAAATGGTAAAAGGGCTTATAATAAATCTAAAAAAAAATAAATGCGTGAGCAGGGGTGGCGGAGGATTGATTTGGGGGGTTGAAAACTTGTGAGAAATTGTATCATTGGGATTTCTGGCGAAAGTTGACGTCAAACAAAAAAGTATCCAATACAAAAGTTGTAGATCATGCAAAAATCTACAACTTTTGTAGAGGTCACTTTTTACGATAACCTCAAAATTTTCAAGAAAAAGGCGAAAAACAAAATTTTGTTTACGATTTTTTGTTTTTTATTTCTCATTTCCATAAAAACAACTTAGTTTTGACGAAACTTAATTAATGTATATCTTTCTGTGTCTAAAATATCCACAAATTTTTTAGATAAAAAAATTAAGAAGTTTCCGAGATATCCATTTTTTCCAGTCTGAAACACTTTTTTTTTCAAAGATAAATTCTGTTTAGGAAAATCATCGTACAGAGTTCTGCCGGTGATCATTTTTTTTGTTTTGAAAGAAATCTGTAATCAAATTCAAAAACATGCTGAAAAATGCAAAAAAAATAAGAAATTACTTGCAATGAATTTTTCAGTATTTGTTGATAATTTGTTTAAATTAAAAAGAAAATCAAAAACTGATTACACCATTCAATTCTACGGAAATATGCAAAAAAAAACTGTGTTTTATTGTTTGACCCCAAACTTTATTTTTGTACAGTATTGCTATAAACGTCTAAGTCGAATTATAAATGTACAAATGATAAATTATTCAGCAACACAAAGTATTAACTGCAAAGTCTACTGTTGACGTGAAACTCGAAAGCCCGAAATTTTGCAAAATAGTTTTATTTTTTTCTGGCTTTATTTGAAAACGAATTTAAAAATAAACTGTATATTTACAAATCCAACTTTTTTCGCTCTATCCAATGGCGTCAACATTTTTGCAATTCGACATTTCGTTTTCGAAGGGCCATCAGGTTAATTTTTTAAAATACGTCGCTGCTGTTTTTATGACAAAATCTAACGTCATTTTTAATTCTGAATTAAATAAAACCAGAAAAAAAATTAAACTATTTTGCAAAATTTCTGGTTTTACCGTTTCCTAGATCCTAATGCTATCCCATCCTTATCTTGGACACACTGTATATCTCTCAAAATTAAAAAAAAATAAATACACTAATCGATCCTACGGAAAAAAATATTGTTTATTTTATTTATTTACTATTCGACTTATGTTTATAGCAATACTGTACAAAAATAAAGTTTTGGGTCAAACAATGAGACAATTTTTTGTATTTTTTCCGTACAATTGAATAGTGTAATCAGTTTTTGATTTTTTTAATTTAAACAAATTATCAACAATTACTGAAAAATTCATTGTTGCAAGTCATTTTTTATTTTTTTTTGCATTTTTGAGCATGTTTTTGAACTGTGATTACAGTTTTTTTTATTTCGCCAAAAAGTATATGTCAAAACGAAAGAAATTATCTCTGACAGAACTCTGTACGATGATTTTTCTAAGTACAATTTTTCTATGAAAAAATAAAAATGTTTCAGACCGGAAAAAAAGAATATCTCGGAAACTTTTTTATCTAAACGGATTTTTTTTATCTAAAAAAAATTGTGGTTATTTAAGGCACAGAAATATATACTTTCACTAAGTTTCGTCAAAATTGAGTTATTTTTGAGGAAATGAGAAATAAAAGACGGAAAATAAGAAAAAAAAACTGTTTTTCGCATTTTTCTCGGAAATTTTGAGGTTATCTTAAAAAGTGACTTCTACGAAAGTTGTAGATTTTTGCATAGTCTACAAGTTTTGTATTGGATACTCTTTTGTTTGACGTCAACATTCGCCAGAAATCCCAATGATACAATTTTTCACAACTTTTCAACACCCCAAATCAACCATCCGCCGCCCCTGCTTACGCATTTTTTTTTTTTCGTTTATTATAAGCACCTTTACCATTTCCACTTATAAAAGTCCAGATAACAATTTTCGCTTTTTTTCCTCTAAATGAGTTATTTCAATCGGTCTAATTAGACTATTTTAGTTTACTATAAAGGAAGCTCGTACGGCAAATTTAATATCCCGACACGAGATGATACAAGCTCATAAAGTTTCCATACCAGGTACTCTAAGAAAATCTCGCTTACATTTAGTGTTTAAGCAAAGCCGTAGAGACAGTGATCAAAGACATCAGAGTACCTACATGCTAGTCGACAACTACAAAAAAGGTGATATCCCGCTGGTGTAAAAATGTACTATCAGCGAAAACAATAGAGCGTGGACCATTACCCTTAATCAACCGCTAAGGGATACAAAAAATCATAATCCACGAAGTGGCACCCAACGGCTAGAATATATGAAACGCTAGGAGATCATCCAACACAGTCAGTATTTCTTTGTTTATTTATTTTTACATTTCAGGGTCATATGGTTTAATAAACAAAATAATCTCCAAATGTGTAAACAGCCTATAGATAATTAACAAAACATTTGAAAAGAGATAAGGTTGTGTACGTACAATTAAAATTTTATCTGTTTGAAAACATTTTTGTTATCACATTTTTGACAGCAATCTTAATTTAAACAAAGATAATGTCCAATAATATACAAAACGATTTTAAACGACAAATTAGTGCCATACATTGAAGTAATCAGATTCAAAATGAGTATCAAGAAATTCCCATTTGAAATTAGACCGCTAGAACCTGAACTGGATGAAAAAATCAAGTCACTGTATTTAGGTAACTGCACAATTATTGCAACAAAGTCAATTTTTGTCAATTGATTTACTTTAATAATTAATTTGACAGGTGCGAATGAGGGATCTGTGGAAATTGGCCCAAAAAAGTATGTAATTAGCTCTAAATATGGCCAAGTTGCTGAAACTGTGTACAATTTTGAAGTAAGACCAGACGATGTGTGGGTTGTCACATTTCCCAGATCAGGTACGGATATATTGGTGTTTTTTAACAATCTTAATTTTTTTTTTATCAACATTCTAGTTGAAAAACCATTAAAAACTAATGGACTTCCTAGGTACCACTCTGATGCAAGAGATGACATGGTTGATCCTGAATGACGATTACGATACTGCGAAGAACGTTTCACTTTTTAAAAGATTTCCCTTCCTAGAGTAAGTCAACTATTTAACAATAAACAGTAGATGAGGTACAGATAGTTATGAGATAGTAGAACGGTTTGGAAATTTTAAAGTTTCTGCACATGAAGCGTATGACGCATACGAGATTTATCGACATAAACGCTTGGGTCCGCTTTTAGAAACAATGACGTCAATAAGCCTCAAACAAGCGTACAGATTACTGCTATCACACCTAATACCATACGTCTAATGTACAGGGTGTCCCAAAGTTCGCATCTCGGGCCCATAACAGACAAACGAAAAACGACAGTAAAATGACGACATCAACTTTTTTCCACGAACATACCCATTTTTATGATAACTAAAATTATCTATTTTTTATGAACATTTTTTGTGCAGAAATTTGTCGTCTATCTCTTCTCCTTAAAAAGTTACAATAACAAACATTGTACAAAAATGTATCCTGGGTTTCAATCACTTTTTTGTTTGGGCAGTACTTTCTGAGATAGAAGGGGGGTTCCAAACTTTTTGAAAACCCTGTATAATCAACATTGCTGTGAAAACAATGGCTGAAACTGCTGTCACAAGTCTGTTTACATATTAGTTTATGTCAAACGCTATTTCTTGCGTGATAAACAAACTAGTAAGTGGTTGTTAAAAATTAAAAAATGTTCACAAACTATGAAAAAGTTGACATGATTTTAATTTATGATGAATGTCAAAAAAATGTCAGAAGAGCTGTTAACTTATATCATGAGAGATATCCAGAGCGTCAAGCTGTTAACCCAAAAATATTTGCCAGATTAGAACGAATTTTGCGTGCTAACGAAAATGCATTTTCATCAAGAAAAGGGAGAGGAATTTCAAAATCAGTGTGTAACAATGTAGCTAGGGTAGGTAAATCCTAGAAATTCTATACGACAGGCCACTTTTGCATTAAACTTAAAAGTAAGCTCTGTGCAAAGAATTTTGAGCTCCAATGGTTAGCATGACTATAGGCTAAATAAATTGGAGCACTTATCTGACATATATGCTGAAAAAAGACTGAATTATGTAGCCCAAATAATGGTTAATTTGGAAATAGATAATAGACTCTTACAACACATTATTTGGACCGATGAGAGACGTTTTTATAAGTAATGGCTAGTCAAATAAAAGAAACGAACATTACTGAGCTTGTTTGGCATTATTAGAATGCATTTAATTGGCCTATACTTTTATGAAAATATATTGAGCGCTCATAGCTATTTACAGTTTTTACAAGAGCACTGCTTGAACATATGCCGCTGCAGCTCAGGTTGAATATGTGGTTGCAACACGATGGTAGTCCTCCACATAAAGCTAAAAGAATTACAGACCATTTCAAAAATACTTTCGGAACTAAGTGGATTGGAACTAACGGGCCTGTAGAATGGGCTTCAAGGTCTCCAGAATTAATACCCCTAGACTATTTTTTTCTGGGGACATTAAAGAATCAAGTATTAAACACCCACGAGAAGTTTGGAGCATTTAAAGTAAAAGATTTGACATGTTTGTGAGAATCTTTCACGAGAAACGTTGTTTAAAGCTACAAGGGAAGTTAGGAAAATATTGGATAAATGCTTAGAAGTAGAAGCATGCATATCGAATTTTTTTTAAACCAATAGGTAATCATAATTTTATATTTTGTTTTGTGTTTTGTTATTAGTTATTGTTTAACATTTTCTATATTTGGTTATCATATTTAACCGTCAATATGTGCACTGTTCTATTTTTCTTCTTCTTTTGTAAGAAGAACATAGCAACTAATATGTAAACAAATTTGTGGCAGAAGTTACAGCGATTGTTTCTCATAGTAATGCTGATTAAGTCATGACTAGTTCCAATACAATAGAATGCATTTTTGTATAATGTTTGTTATTGTAACTTTTTAGGGAGAAGAGATAGAGAAAAAATTTCTGCACAAAAAATGTTCATAAAAAGTAGATAACTTTAGTTATCGTAGAAAATGGGTATGTTCATGGAAAAAAAAGACGTCATTTTTTTTATTTTCCGAATTTTGAAAAATATATTTTTCAAGTGCAAAACGGACCTTAGCGAGTTCCTATTCACGCCATCTAAACAGATTTTTACTGTCGTTTTTCTTATGTCTGTTATGGGCCCGAGAAGCGAACTTTGGGACATCCTGTACAGAAAGTCCAACTCTTATGAAAGAAAATTTGCATTTGCCTTTATCCTTATTACCCCCGACTCTGCGCACATCAGGAGCAAAGGTAGCTGCCAATATTTATGAATAAAACATAATTTTTAATAAACGCCAATTACTAGGTAATTTATATTGCACGAAATCCAAAAAACGCAGTTATGTCGCGGTATTACCAAGACCGTTCGGTGAGGTTAATCAACTATGCAGGAAATTTTGCAGAATATTGGGACCTCTTTGAAAATAATTTAAGTAGGTACTCATATTAAGTAAACAAACAAGTTTTATGATTCTGTGTAAAATTTTACAGCAGCTTATCTGAAAAGTTTTACAATGTTTATATGTAAAATCTTACAAATTGCTTATGGGTAAAATTTTACATTGCCTATGCGTAAAACTTTACAATTGCGTATAAGTATAATTTTATAATTACTTATGTGTAAAATTTACATTGCTATGTGTAAAATTTGACATTTGCTTATGTGTAACATTTCACAATATCTTAAGTATAAAATTTGATAATTGCTTATGTGTAAAATTTGACAATTGACTATGAGTAAAATTTTATAATTGCTTTTTCGTAAAATGTTCTAATTAATTATGTGTAAAATTTTACAATTACCTATGTGTAGAATGTTATAGTTGCGGATGTGTATAATTTTATAATTGCTTCTACGCAAAATGTTTTAATGAACTATCAGTTGTAAAATTTATTTATTAACGACATATAAAATTTTACAATTGCCTATGTGTAAAACGATATATTTGCTTTAGAATTTTAATTAACTTCGTGTAATATTTTACAGTTGCCTATGTGTAAAATTTTATAATCGCTTTTGAGTAAAATGTTTTAATTAGCAACGTGTAAAATTTTACAATTACTTACATGTGTTCACAATTGTCTATGTGCAAAATTTTGTAGTAGCTTAATGTAATAGTCATTTGTTTTAGTGTTTTTCACACCATACTGGGAGCATCTAGAAGAAGCATGGCAACGAAGAAATAACAAAAACTTTTTGTTTTTGTTCTTCGAAGATGTGACAAAAGTAAAGACCCTTAAAGTTACTCTAATTAATTTAATATTTTGTTTTATAGAGACGCTCACTAAATGGCGATGGTTTATTAACTGCAATAAATTTTTAGGATTATAAGAAAGCCATCGGCCAATTGTCAAATTTTTTGGAAAAAAACATGAGCGATGAACAAATATCGAAGCTAGCAGATTATCTACAAATAGATCATTTTCGTAAGAGAGATCAACTTCAAATAAACTCCATGCTAAAGATTTTAAGTGTGCGCGATCTCTACCAACACGTTAGAACAGGAAAATCCGGTGACTGGAATGATTATTTCACCCAGGAGCTTGAGGCAAGAGCAAACAAGTGGATAGAAGAAAATTATAAGAATACCACTTTAAGATTTCCAATAAAATTGTATTAATTATTTTGGAAAAACTAAAATATATATGTGCAACTAGAATTAACAATATTTCGTTTTATTATCAGTAATAAAATTATAATTGCTATCTGCTAGCAAACCTCCAAATTTATAAATGTCCGTCAGTGAAAAATATATAAATAAAAACTCCTTGTGTGTAATTTATGAATTCATTCTCGCATTCTACAAGAACGTAGTTTTCTGTTTCAAAATAATTTTAAAAATAACAATCATGTAGTTTTACTACTGAAGATTATTTATTTATTATATTATATTCATTAATATATACGAATTCGCGTCTATCAACTTTCCTCCCATACCCCTCTATTTGTTTGCTTTTTCTCAACTTATTAAGCGCTATGCCGAGTGAAAATACTCCCCCTTCTACTAAATAACCGCAACGTCTATTACAAACGCCGAAGTAAAAATAACCTTGAATTGCAATAAAAAGACGTTAATGTGATAAATTTTAATCTAATTAATAGTTAGTTATAATTCTTTAATTATAAAAGATTTATGATTTCTTATGAAATATAAATTATAAAGAATAAAGATACTTACAATGATTTTTTTCTATATTTCATTGATACTATTATTTTATAAGCCATGATCTGATTTTTCATTCATATAAATGTATACAATATTGTAAATAAATAATTTTCAATAGTAAAACTACATAATTGTTATTTTTAAAATTATTTTGACAGTAAAACTACTTTCTTGTAGAAAAAATTGAGCTCGCTATTGAGCGAGAATAAATTTAAATATATGATGAATTTTGGATATTTTCGGTGATTGTATTGATAGAATAATAATTGTCGATGATGTATAATATCAACTTGTTCCATTGTGTGAAAAAAATTGGGTCCAAAGCGAAAAAAACAAAAATTTAATTTTTACTTCAACTTCAATCGTGAATAACTTTTGAAGGAGTAAATTTATTCAAAAATGTTAAAGGACCTTCTTTGTAGAGCATTAAATTTCCTTTGAAAATTTGCATTGTACTTTTTCAGATACTAATTAGTTCGTTATTTACAAAATTCCAAAGTTAAAAAGTCAATTCGAAAAAACTTAACAATTTTCAAGGCTTTATTACATGGAAACGGATCATCTGCCGAAAATTTACAATCAGACTTTTTTTGTAGGGCATTCAGTTTCCTTCAAAAATATAAGTAGATATTTTTTTACCTTGGTTTGGCAGTTTTGACGTAAAAATGGGATCAGGAATAAAAAATCGAAACTAGCGATGATATACCTCTTAAAACTAAAATTAAGAGCTCAAACTCTCACAATATTTTTTTTTTCGTCATTCTGAATGAATTTCTCGATATACTTTTCAAAAAAAAAAAAAAATTTCGATTTTTTGTCCAAGTCTATTGTGTACACACCATTTGGACTAAAAATGTTTCATCTGTAACAAGTATTTGCTCTGTAAATTGAGGATTTCTTGCATGGTCCAGAAGCAACCACTCGCAAAAACCTCGACGTAGTGGAAATCCTCAGGAGTAAGTACTTGAACACGTTGAATATGAAATGAGTACAACTTGCTGTGCGATATTTCTAGTGCTACGAAGGTCACCTTCTTCGACGAGATCTAAAATTATCGTCTCGACATTTAAGATTCTTAGTGGTCGCTCTGGGCCACTGTCGCGACACTTGACAAGCTCTGTGGGCATTTTCGTTTGCTTCGCCATAAATTATATCATAATATTCGCGACTGCTAAATAAACTCAGTTTTTGCTCCTTTTTCACCCCTTTAAATTTTTGACATAAATTCACTAACACCCTGTAGATAACATTAAGTAAAATTTTTAACTATTACAAATATTTTTACTGTTCCCCTTTCGACTACAATTTTAAGTTAAACATGAAAACTAAAATTCACTCCTGTCATTTCTTAGTATTTGCAGTTTTCTTTGAACATTTTTTTTAAATACAGTTAATTGTCGACTTAGTACCTGTATTACTTGATAATTTATACAACCTTAAATTAAATGTTTATTTATGCCAAAATAATTACATAGGTATGATGCTTTTTTATAAATCTGCAAATATAGTTTAGAATTAGTTAAGTATTTTTTGCAAAGATAACATTCTTTCCGTATATTATGCCGATTAACATTTTATCTATTACAATACATTTTTATTATAGTGGTCTTGAGAATAATCGTAATTTAAACAAAAATAATGACCTACATATAAATACAAAATATATTAAAAGGCAAATTAGTACATTAATCAGATTCAAAATGAATATCAACAAATTCCCATTTGAAATTAGACCACTAGAAGCTGAACTGGATGACAAAATCAAGTCACTATTTTTAGGTAACTGCCGAATTATTGCAACGCCTTAAATTTTTTGTAATTGATTTACTCCTACGGCTTTAACAGGTGCGAATGAGGGGTGTGTGGAAATTGGCCCAAAGAAATATATAATTAGCTCCAAATATGGCCAAGCTGCTGAAACTATATACAATTTTGAAGTAAGACCAGACGATGTGTGGGTTGTTACATTTCCCAGGTCAGGTACGAAGATTAGTATTTTTTAGCAAATTAAAATTTTTTTAATCGATATTCTGGATGAAAAAATAACGAACTTCCTAGGTACTACTCTGATGCAAGAGATGGCCTGGTTGATACTGAACGACGATAACGATACTGCGAAGAACGCTTCACTTCTTAAAAGGTTTCCCTTTCTAGAGTAAGTAAACAATAAACATTGGATAAGGTGCAGAATGTTATGAATTATAACGTGTCGGAAAGCTTAGGGTTTCTGCACATAAAGCGTGTAAAAATTTACGAGTACAAGATTTATCGACACCAAAAGAAATCCTAACTCTCATAAAAGGAAATTACAAACGGTTGTGTGAAAACTATATTTTCAAATCGTCAAAATTTACTTATGTATATACAGGGTGGTCGCGATGTAATGGGCCAAAATTCATGACTAGATTCCTGACGTGAAAATATTGCGATATAGATAAACTCACCTTAGTCCAAAAGTTGATACTTACAGAGATACAGGGTGTTTAATGCAAAATATTATTTTAGTTTTTTCTTATTTATTTCATAATAAATGCTCATATCGAGATGAAATTTTGGTGTTAGGGGTTTTCTGGGGCGAGAGATTGAAATATATCCATGGTTTGCTTGTAGCTCATAGAGAGCGCCACCTGCGCTAGGTCGAATGCGTTGAAAACGACAGAACTTTTTTATCTTTCAAAAATCTAATTCTCAGGTAGCAAATTCTGATTTTACAACTTCTTTTACACAAAAAAGCTATACTTTTTGATAGTCGCTATCTTGCACCGTTCTCAAGATATTTAGCTTTGGTAATTCGAGTAATCAAAATAAGGTACGAATGTCAAAAAGAACAAGAGTTTATTTCAAATTATAAATTGTGATGAACAATTGAATATCGAATATTACAATAAATGTTCAACATGTCCGCCTCCAACTTCAATACATTTATTAACGCGTTTGTTCAAAGACTGCCGTATTTTAAAATAGAGATTCTTGTTACGAAATGATTCGGCGGCATTTACAATTTTCTGCCATAGCTCTTCGCGGGTGTTTATAGTTTCTCTATAGACAACTGATTTCATGTAGCCCCAGAAACAAAAATCCATAGGATTAAAGTCAGGACTACGAGGAGGCCATAATATTCGACTCCCACGACCGATCCAACGATCCGGAAAAATGTGGTCAAGATAGTTCCGTACTCTGACAGAATAATGAGGGGGAGCTCCATCTTGCATGAAAAATAGATTTTGCCGTGTATTCAGTGGTAAATCGTCGAGGTAGTCAACTAAATGGTGCTGCAGGAAATCTAAATACAAGTCACCATTTAGATTTGGAGGAAGCTCATGTGGACCCAAAAGGTGATTTCCTATGATTCCGCACCAAACATTTATCTTAAATTCATGTTGGAAGTGACGCTCACTGACTACGTGAGGATTTTCATTATCCCATATGTGCTTGTTTCTAAAATTGAAAATTCCTCGACGAGTAAAGGTCGCTTCATCAGTGAATAGTACATTATCCAAAAATTCCTGGTCAAGGTTTTGCTGATTGCGCATAAAATGAGCAAATTGTAATCTAGCTGGTAAGTCTGCTGCTAAAAGATTTTGCACGGGTGTAAAATGGTAGGGATATAAATTTTCCTTGTGAAAGATTTTGAGAACTGTTGTTTTACTAACACCGGTTTCTCTAGCTACCTGCCTGCTGCTAACTTCTGGATTTCCTGCCACTCTTACTAAAATTTCTTCTTCTTGGTGAACTGTAACAGTACGCCCTGCGTTGTCTCTTTTAGGACGAAAACTACCAGTTTCTCCAAGTCTATTAAAAAGTTCTTGAAATAGTTTCCGATTTGGTTGCCTTCTATTCGGATACAACTCTGAATACCGACGAAGCGCTCGACGTCCAACATAATCTGATTGCGCATAAACGCAAACCATATCGCGCATTTCTCCATTTGAAAATAAATTATGGCGTGGCATGTTATCTCGCACTACGATTTAGATCATAAAGTAAAGAATACTTTTAATAAGGCACGAATAATACTGTAATATTACTGACAGCACTAAGATAAGTGGAAAATGTCAAAATTGGATTTTAACATAAGCCTACTTGAAAATTTTTGCCGATTTGTAATTGAATGCAAATACATTGGAATTTTCAATGGCAAATTTTACGAGAACGGTGCAAGATAGCGACTATCAAAAAGTATAGCTTTTTTGTGTAAAAGAAGTTGTAAAATCAGAATTTGCTACCTGAGAATTAGATTTTTGAAAGATAAAAAAGTTCTGTCGTTTTCAACGCATTCGACCTAGCGCAGGTGGCGCTCTCTATGAGCTACAAGCAAACCATGGATATATTTCAATCTCTCGCCCCAGAAAACCCCTAACACCAAAATTTCATCTCGATATGAGCATTTATTATGAAATAAATAATAAAAAACTAAAATAATATTTTGCATTAAACACCCTGTATCTCTGTAAGTATCAACTTTTGGACTAAGGTGAGTTTGTCTAAATCGCAATATTTTCACGTCAGGAATCTAGTCATGAATTTTGGCCCATTACATCGCGACCACCCTGTATAATAGACTTGCCTAGGTTATCAACATTGTGCCCAGACCATGTTATAGCAGAAACAACAGAGCATATAGTGAATGATCAAAAAATGTGGCAAGAATACAAAGAGTCAATGAAGCCCCAATGGGAAGTTTTAGAAAATACAGTCGGTAGGAGATTCATTAAAAGCCATTTGCCGTTGTCCTTGTTACCTCCGACTTTGCTCACATCAGGTGCTAAGGTAGCAGACAATATTTGCTCATAAGATATCACTAAACATATAATTAATAAACCACAATTACTAGGTAGTTTACATTGCACGAAATCCGAAAAATGCAATTATATCGAGGTATTATCAAGAGCGTTCTCTAAGGATGACGAACTATGTAGGAAATTTTGAACAGTACTGGGACCTCTTTGAAAAAAACTTAAGTACATACATAAGTATAGCAATAAGTTAAAAAGTTTACAATTGCCTTTGTGTAAAATTTGCAAAAGCTTATGTGCAAATATTTCACAACTGCCATCTGTAAAATTTTGTAATTGCCTACTCTTAAATATTGTCGTCAATGTGTTCAGTTTTACAATATCTTGTATTACAAATGTTACATGTTTGTGTGTAAAATGCTACAATTGCCTATATGCAAAATTTTACTCTCCCTTATGTATGAAATTTTGGCATCGCCAATGTGTTAAACTTTATGATTTCTTATGTGAAAAGTGTTATAATTGTTTATGTGTAAAATGTTACAATTGCCTACGTGTAAAATTTTACAAATGCTGATGTGCAACGTATTACCATTGCTTATGTATAAAATATTTCCATAGCTTTATGTGTACAATTTTACCGTAGCAAAATTTTACAGTTGCCTATGGGTAAAATTTAGCATTAGCCTATAAGTAAAATTGTACAATTTCTTATTAGCTCTACATAGGTAATTTGTTCCAGTGTATTTCACACCATATTGGGAACATTTAGAAGAAGCATGGCAGCAAAGAAGTAACAAAAATCTTTCGTTCTTCTTCTTCGACGATGTGATAAAGGTAAAGGTACTTAGTTACTATACCTCTTTATTAGAGATGCCCTTCTGGAGACCACATTCTATTAACTTTAATGAATTTTTAGGATTATAAGAAGGCTATTGTGGAACTGTCGAATTTTTTGGAAAAAACCATGAGCGATGAACAAATATCGAAGCTGGCAGACTACCTGCACATAGATAATTTTCGTGGTCGACCTCAAGTAAACTTTATGCTAAAGATTATAAGTGTGCGAGATCCCTACCAACACGTTCGAACAGGAAAATCCGGGGTTTGGGATGAATATTTCACCCAGGAGCTTGAGGCAAGAGCAAATAAGTGGATAGAAGAAAATTATAAGAATACTACATTAAGATTTCCAATAAAATTGTATTAGAGATTTTAGGCAGACCAAAATATATACTTGTCATTAGAATTGAGTGTATTTCATTTTGTCGCAATTGCCACCTGCTAGCCGAACATTTCTTCAAAATTTGTGAATGTGTGTCAGCCAGAAATTAATAAAAAGAAATAATTCTTATTTTTCTGCTTTCGACTACAATATTCTTAAAGTAAAAGATAAAATTAAAAACAAACCCACGATAGGAACAAAAAAGTCATAAAAATATGTACTTAGCTATATGTAGTACATAATATATAAATATGTAAATTTATTCATATATAAATATCTACTTAGTTCTAAGTATGTGCAGCTCTAAAGTATACAGGGTGATTCATTAACAATGAGAAAGTCGAAGGCTGAAGATACTACACGTGAAATGGTGACCATTGACGCAAACATGCCTTATCCCAAAGTTGATAGATTCGGAAATACAGGGTGTTGAAAGTTAAAATTATAAATCGTTTTTTGAGATTATTCTGAAAATATGTAGGTTAGGAACTTGAAAATTTGTGAAGCTATATTTTTTTAGGCGACGAATAAGATGCGTGCTATAATTTCAGCATTGCTTACAGAGGGCGCCACTTACAACCAATTTTACCGAAAATTTAATTAATAACTTTTTACCCTGTATTTTTAACATGAAACTTGATTCAAAACCTGAATGAGCTATCATTTTTCCATGAATTATGTACTCTTATTTCATTTCGGTATCTCGATCCGTTTTCGAGAAAAATCGATTTAACGAAAACTATGTTTTGATAATATGAGAAATTAAAAGCGAAACAAACCAAGTGTTTCTTCGTGTTATTACAACAATTAACAATAAAACAAATAAAATACGTAATTGTTGGAAGAATTCACCGTTGACACTGATACACCTTACACGTTTTCTGAGAGATCTTCGAATTTGAAACAACATACTGTGATTGCGTCTGACTTCGTTGGCAGCGATTTGTATTCTTTGCCACAACTCTTCACACGAGCCAATAGATTATTTGTAAACGATATCTTTCATTCGAGACCAAATAGAAAAATTGAGGATTGAAGTCCGGACTTCTGGATGGCCAAGCAAAAATGCTTACATGGCCAATCCAGCGATTTGGAAAAACTGCATCTAAATATGCACGCACTGGCCAAGAAAATTGCGGTGGAACTCCGTGGTGCATGAGCCACATGTCTCTTCTTAAATAAAGTCGAACTTCTTCAAGCTGTGGAAGCATTTTTACTTGGCCACCCAGAAGTCCGGACTTCAATCCTCATCATTTTTCTATTTGGAAGAATCTATTGGTTCATGTGAAGAGTTGTGGCAAAAAAAATCGCTGCCAACGAAGTCAAACACAATCCCATCAATATGTTGTTTCAAACTCGAAGATCTCTCAGAAAACATTGTGTAAAGTGTATAAATGTCAACGGTGGATTCTTCGAACACTGACTTTAAATCATTATTACGAATTTCATTTGTTTTATTGTTAATTGTTGTAATTACACGAAGAAACACTTGGTTTGTTTCGTTTTTAATTTCTTTTAATTAAATTAAATTTCGTCTTTTAATTAAAATTAATTAATTAATTAATTAATTAATTAACTAATTTAAATTAAAATAGAGTGTTCGTTAAATCGATTTTTCTCGAAAACGGATCAAGATACCGAAATGAAACAAGAATACTCAATTAATGGAAAAATGATCGCTCATTCAGGTTTTTGATTTTGAATCAAGTTTCACGTTAGACATACAGGGTAAAAAGTTATTAACTAAATTTTCGGTAAAATTGGTCGTAAGTGGCGCCCTCTATGAGCAATGCTGAAATTACAACATGCATCTTATTAGTCGCCTAAAAAAATATAGTTTCACAAATTTTCAAGTTCCTAACCTGCATATTTTCAGAATAATCGCAAAAAAACGATTTAAAATTTTTACTTGCAACATCCTGTATTTCCGAAACTATCAACTTTCGGATAAGGCAATGGTCATCATTTCACGTGTAGTATCTTCAGCTTTCTATTTTCCCATTGTTAATGAATCACCCTGTAGATATTTAAATATATACTTAGCTCTATGTATTTAGTTCTAAATATGTACATAGCTCTATGTACTTAGCTCTCTATGTAGTTAGCTGTCTATGTACTTAGCTTTCTATGTACTTAGCTCTATATACTTAGCTCTGAGTATGTCTAGCTATAATATGTACATAGCTCTAAGTACGGTAAAGCTGATGAAATTTTGTATAATTTCCAAATCAAGTTAGTCGATGTATGGGTTATGACTGTTCTTAAGTCAGGTAATGTAAGCGATATATTTTATTTTAAAAAATGATAATAGAAGATTGAAGGTATGTTTATGGTTTATAAACAAAATTTCGCTCAACTTCCGAAAGAGTTTCAAATTTTCTTTCAACTTTCCAGTCGGAACCACGAAGGCATTTTCAATCATTCTACGCAGGGCCAATTTCGACCTAACCCGTGTTCGAGGGCTTCAATGTACCATCCACCGAGAAATAGAAGGCGTGGCGCGAAAAATTTTCGACTATGTTTTTTCCGCAAGTACCAGAGCCGCAAAGGCTGATATTGTCGGCAGTTTCGGATTTCGGACAATAAAAACTCCGAAAAATGCGAAATTCGAACTGGGGAAATGTACAGACTATAAGTCCACCCAAAGTTGGGTAAAATCCAAAAGGGTCAGTTATCCAAATCTTTGGCGGAATTCGCTACAGGGCTACTGCGGTCCCACCAAGGAATAAGATCGAACGTCGACCTTGATAGCTTGGAGCCAGCAAGATACCTACCAACATGCTAGATCAAGAAAATCTGGTAATTGAAATAAATATTTTACTGAGGAACTTGAAAAAAAGCGGACAAATACAGTGGATGGCCAAATTATTAGGGACAGTATCCAGTTTCTTCTATTTTCTAGTTTGACTGAATTTTTTGAACAAACAGTTGGTTCTATGGCTTGCAGCTTTTTTTTATTCAAAAGAGTGTACCTATTATTAAGATCATTAAAACAACGAGTTACGTGGGCGAAACTATTTATTTTTTTCGTAAAAGCTATATGTGCATTAATGGAAATCTGTTAAAATTAATCTTAGTATTTAGTGATGCATCCTTTGCCGCAATTAGAGCTTTTATTATTATTCTGTTGGAGTTCGACGCTGTGATGTCATTCTCTGACGAGAGTTTCAACCAATTGGTGCTTGGTGGTGATCAGCTTAATAGCAGTTACCCGTTTGGTGAGTCCCCACATGTTCTCTATGGGATTCATGCCCGGTCAGGACAAAATTGTAATGTTTTTTCGGCCAGAAATGCACTAACACTCCTGGCTTTGTGGTACGGTGCCAAATTGTGCATAAAAATGGGTATTTAACCCTCAGCACAAGGCAGTCTGGATGGAACTGCTCTCTCCAAGACGTCGTAGGAGATATGAAGTTTTGTCTACCAAAATTTGAAACGCTAATTCGTCGGAAAATATTGAGATAATCACAAAAAAATCTTTATTAACACTATTTTAATTAGTTGTTCTCATTCGAATGCAGTCATTTTCTGGAGTTATTGGGCCCATTGCAACCGCATCTTCTTCATGACCTCCATCAAAGGTGTTTTTTTGGTCGACAACGACCTATCGGGTTTTCTTCTGCCAATCACCTTCGGACTGTCATTTGGGAAAATACAAGTCCTTCATTGTTTATTATAGTAACTCTATATCAATAACGTTTTGATAATTTGTGACAGGATGAACTCACAAAAAACGATTCAGAAATATTTTTTAGGATCTCACTGTAACAAAAGTTCTAAACAAACTACCACCATACGAAGAGTTACCTCACTTATCTGATAAATTATGCAGGATATCAGGTTGCCACTCAACAAAAATATTAATAACAGTACTAGCTGTAATACAAAATATAAAAAAACTTGTGAAGACCTATTTGTTTAAATGAAACATAGTGGAACGTGTTCCCAAAGATAAATAAAAAAGTGATAGTAACAGACAAAAACCTAAATCAAGTGGAAATGATGGATGAGTGTAATATACCCTAAAAAATTAATCCATTTTCTACCACTATTTTTAGGAAATACGTTCGTAGTTATACTAACGCTACAAAAAAAAATATTTATAGAAAAATAAAAGCTTCAAATTAGGTAAAATTGCATATAAATAGAAACTGTACAGATACTAGTCAGTTACAACATAAAGTAGCAGCATTGAAATATTACTGTGATGTGTATTAATAAACGAAATATAATTATCCTTAAATAATTATTTCCAAGTAAGTAATAAATAAAAAAAATTTGCAAAGAGATAACGTTATTTTCGTATATTATGCTATTTATCTGTTACAATGAATTTTTATTACCGTAGTTTTAAGAGTAATCGTCATTTAAACAGTGATAAAGACCAATATATGTATATATACGAACTTTTTTAAAAGCCAAATTAGTACCATAAATTGAATTAATCAGATTCAAAATGAGTATCAAGAAATTCCCATTTGAAATTAGACCGCTACAACCTGAACTGGATGAAAAAATAAAGTCACTGTTTTTAGGTACCTGCAGAATTATTGCAACCAATTAAATTTTTTGCGATTAATTTACTCTTGTGACTTTGACAGGTGCGAAAGAGGGATCTGTGGAAATTGGCCCAAAAAAATATATATTTAGATCTGAATATGGCCAAGCAGCTGAAACTATATACAATTTTCAAGTAAGACCGGATGATGTGTGGGTCGTTACATTTCTAAGGTCAGGTATGGAGATTCGTATTATTTTAGCAAATTAATTTTTTTTTTAATTAATGTTCTGGATGAAAAACTAACGGACTGCCTATAGGTACTACTCTGATGCAGGAGATAGCATGGTTGATACTGAATGATGATTACGATGCTGCGAAGAACGTTTCACTTTTTAAAAGGTTTCCCTTTCTAGAGTAAGTAAACAATATAACAATAAACAGCAGATGAGGCACATAAAATTATGAGGTAGTAGAACGGTTTGGAAACCTTAGGGTTCCTGCACATGAAGCGTATCACTACTCA